TGGTTGACCAGTTTTTGAATAGTTTTGGAAGAAAAATTAATGATGCTGAGAGAGGCATTACACAACGGAGGAATTAAAGGGATTGGGTCAGGTTCAACGACGAAATGTTTGGCAAAGAATGAATTTAACATTTCTGTTCTGCCTGACCCGCCTGTAATGAAGGTATTATTGGTACTAGGCAAAGGCGGAATGACTTGGTGGGATTAAGCAGATGATCTTTGACGGAAGATCTGTGCAAATGAATAGAAGTATCCACGCCATTAATAGCTAAAGCCTCTCTACGTCAGTAACGCGGAAGCCTAGTTTTAAAATCTTGTTCAAATATTTCAACGATTCTTAGATGAACTGATAACGAGCTCATAGAAGGACCTTTAAGCTGTTTCTGTAGCTTTTTAAAGTCTGTTTTTAAGAAAATATGGGACAGCGGTGGAAGTGGCACTCGATTTGAACATCTTCCGTGGAATTAGGTCGAGAAGACCTTCTGTTACACATTGTAATAAATTGTTAAAAAAAATTTAGGTCATTATTTGAAAAAATATTATGCCAATCAAGAGAGCTTGTAAAGCTATTTACTAATTCCTTGTTAATATTAGCATAGTGAAAAATACTACGTTGTACTGTTGGCTTTGCGGAAATAAAGCGTAAAAGTTTTTCACCCAACATTGTCTCATTCCCATCAAGTTTTACTCGTACATATAAATGGTTTTCCTCGTAAAATTTTTGAAAAACACTATCTTTTTAACCATAAATCCTACCCACTGACCGCATTTATGGTCGATTGATTAACTAGTAAGGGAAATATACTGTCTTTCATTTTATCCTACATAGCCTAATTATTCAATGCAAATTTTACTCACAGTTTTGTCTTGCTACCTACGAAATTGTTATTTACCCGTTGTCTTTTCACTTCTGCATTCTCTTATTGAGCAAAAATTGCTTAGTAACAATTATGCTGTCTGGTCTACCAATATCGATTGCTTTCAGAAATTTCACCATTATGAGCTGTACTCGCATCCTCACTACGGCCTGTCATCCGACAGCCAACGGAATGGTCGCGCGGTTTCACCGTCAGCTGAAGGCCTCCCTACGTGCTGCAAACGATTCGTAGAACTGGACAGACCACCTCCGTTGGTCCTGCTGGGCCATGACTGATCAGCTGCTGAACTCGTGTTCGGTGTTACCTCCCGACTTCGCAGTCAGATGATCTATCTAACCCCACGAGTTGCATTGAAGGATCCTACCAACCTCCTGCTCCATCTCCCGCAATTCATGCAAACACTTACCTCGGTTTCGTCCAGGCCATCCATATCCAAGTCTTAACTCGAAATATTTGGTTACATGTTCTCACGTCTGTCTTCAATGTGATCGAGTCCGCCGGCCACTGAGAACACCCTACAACGGCCATTAATTCGTTATCTCTCGTGAGACGAAGAACTTTCGCATCCAACGCGGAAGTCGCGGGAAGGTAATGAGCTTGACTTGTCCCAAAGCTGCAGTTCCAGACACTCCTCTGAATGAAAAATGTGGTCCTTTACCCCCTGTTGCACATTCCCGACCCTCCATCTCTCCGGCCCGTATACTTCATCTGCTTCCATGTCTGCGATCCCTACGAACAATTACCCCTAATCAACCTCCAAAACTGACTGCGAGTCATACTCACTGTCCGACTATATTTGTAGCGGATAAGCGGTGATGGTGTATGCTAAGTACGCTCAACAGCAGGCCATATCTTATGTTGTAAGAAGCGGAACGCCAGTTGGAGAGAAGATTTTATTTATTCTGTACAAAATAGTGAAGGAAAATCGGCAACCGGACGAGTGTGCTCCCGGCGCCGCAGAGGCGCCGTTCACGAGAACGACGAGCCGTGTGTCGCTGATGGTCGCCGCTGCAAAAGTGTCATGGCAGATTGTTTGCGCTAGTGTTCTGGACTGTTCCCACCTGTGTTACCAATCAACGAGAGGAGTTCTGTTGATTGGCCCCGAGCCCACGCGAGGATAGTGACAAGCCTCGCATGTTGCAGGTCTGGAATCGACCAAATGCGTGGTGCAGACGGTGAATTAGAACGAGACAAATCGAAGCCGGGCAGGCGTGCGTACCATAGCAGCCTGTCGTTAGGGCGTAGATAAAGGCGCTAGCGAGAGACACGGCGTTGCCATTATGGCTGCCCACAGATTCTCGGGTTCAGGGTCCAAGAGCGCGAGTTGATGGGAAGCGTCAGAAGAAGAGATATCTCTGACGGCGAGATTGCTTGTCTTGTCGAGTAGATGGGACTGACGGCAGTCAACCAGAAGATCGAATGCGGCGAAGAAGTCTGTGCTGAGAATGGCACAGGGGATGCCGGCAACGACGAAGACCCAAGGAAAAATTCGCCGTAGACCGAGGACCAGAGAGGAGGAGTAGGTGCCCAAGGTGGTAATGGGCGACGTGTTGACGGGCTGTAGGAAAAAGCAGGAGTTGGGCACTGACGATTAGCTGGTGTGGGTGGAATGACACATAGCTGTGCGCCAGTGTCAACCAAGAGACGCCTGTCACTCCGAGAGTCGCAGACAGAATGCGTGCGACCAGGGAGATCGGCTGCCGTGACCTGAGGGCTGGCCCGTTTTACCCATTTTTTCTGCTTGGAGATGGAGAAGGAGGGAGAGGTGTAACGACAGACTTGAACGCCTAGGATGGTGGGATACCAGCAGGTGGTCGCTGTGTTGGAACGGGCTGAATGTGCAGATTGGACATGAGGTGTGGACGACTTCGGTTGGCTCTGAGATGAGGGAGAAACTGTCTACTTCTGGAGAAAAGTTATATCATCGGCCAGCTTGGTAAACTCGATTTCCAAATGCGAAAGAGGAGGAGCAAGAAAAGTTGAGGGAGTTAGGAGTGATGAATTTGACGGCTTGGAAAAACCGTGTATCTCCATAAGCCGTTCGGCCATCTAATTAAGTTGCGCGGCCGACAGAATGCCAACAGCGGGTGTCAAAACAAGCTGCGCTTCCGATGGAAAATTGTCCATGGTCAACGCCTGACTTTGTCTTGGATTAGGTAGATGGGAGGTTGCTGTTCGCAAGGAAACACAAATTCTCGGGATGGCGCAGTCAACAAAGTAGAGGTTCTCAAATCAAAAGTCAGGAAGGCGGATTGGGTTGGGCAATTTATACTGCCGAAGAGGTGTGTACACAAAAGCCCCGCAGGCAGTCGTCGAGAGAGATTTCTACAGGAAAATTGTGTTAAACCCGCCGTTGAGGTGCCTAAACCCCAGCGCGTGTGCGCACCTTTCGTTGTCTCAGTGTCCGCCAGCCAATCATTGAAGGGGCAGAGATGATTGGACTCGAACAATCGCAAGGATAATGACAAGCCTCGCGTGTCCCAGGAGCGGGTTGGCAGGGAGTGTGGGGCGAAGAGGGCTAGCGTGACAGGGCGGCGGGTAGGCAGGAGGTGCGGGCTGCCGCAGCTTCGTGCATACAACCTCTCCTGCCATCATTACCGTAAGACAGATTGACAGGGAAAATACGTTACATTAAGTTTTATAACATCGTTTTCCCTCCCCAAGGTTATTCATGTTCGAGTGAAATGAGTATCACGCAGCGTTTTTTCAACATATTTAGCTTGCGTGACGAGTATATTCTCAATACATTTACATGTGCAACAGTTACCGCAGGTATTTATTTCACCGGCCAATTAGGACAAGGTCAATCCAAAGGTTTTCAAAGGGTTTTAAAAGGATACTAGCTGCTAATATGAAGGAATATTGTGGGGAATTCGGTCATCAGTATGCCCATGTATTTCAGTATCCAACAATTGCTCCGCTTACAATAAATAAAATTATTTTTAAAACATTCACAATGAATGCAGTGTCTGGGATCGGACCTTTATTTCCCTCTGCATCACCCGCTTGACTTCAGTTTATTCTTCCCTTGTCCCCAGTTTTCTCGACATAAGGGTCCTATTTTTTTTAGTCTGTCGGCCGCTCTTTTGTTGCTACACGCGTTCTTCTATCCTCACCAATACCTACAGAAATTTACTCTGCGCTTAATAAACGTAACCAAAAATTTTAAGTGACACCTCAGTTCTTAGCTGTACTCCGATTCCCCATTTTGGTTTGTAGTAGGCGGACCTGCCTGATACTGTGGCTGCGGGACTAGTTTTGGGGTAATGTCTGCCGGTTTGTTAGAGCAGGAAGGAGACATGGTTGCTTTTCTCCTTTCAGAAAGGTTAATCTTGGAATTTGCCATCATGTAGGCAAACAGTATCTTAACCTACAGGGATGAACCGGGTAATTAAAGAAAGTGAAAAGCGTAAACGATATAACGAAGAGGAGATGGAGATATAGAAAAAGCGAACGAGATGCGTCAGAGGCGTTGGTAAATCCCGCGGGACAGAAGGAAAGGGGAGAACGCTTCTGGATCAAGGCTGTGGTTTAAGTGCAAAATATCCTCGGATTTCAAGATGGTATCCGAACTTAATTCACTGTCCCCATCTGAAAACACCAAGGGAGATGACACACATTCAATCTTCGTCACTAAGCCTCCTGTCTCTTTTTTCCCGCTCGCCCGTTCTTTCCGTTTAAAAGAAATTTACCTTTTCAGACCTGACATTTTCATGAAGGGGCGTTACGTAGTGTTTAAAATTATACCAGCTCAGTAATAGTTTACCACGTGCGCTTTGCTAACACCTAAAGGATGCTTAAAGGGGTTCATTTTGTTTATGTATGCTTTTCTGGAGCCGCACTTTCAAGGGCCACTTGAGTTATGAATAATGGGCAGCGCCCGAGACGATATACGAGGTCATGGAAGTGTCAAGTGTCCGTGGGCGAGCTTTACCGCTGGATCCTGGCAAAGTTATCCGATAAAGATATTAAGAGAGCCCTGCATAAGTACAGAGACTTGATGCCACGCCAGTCTGACTGGAACCGCAAATTAACACAAGCCACAAATATGCCCGAGCTTGGGTTTCGCTACTTGTATCGTTGTGGCCAAATCGACGAGAGCAACCATCGAACGATGCAAAAAATGCTTAAGTACATTGATAGACAAGATGTGCTGCCGTATTTTGACACGATACTGTACAACACTAATAACGCCAACTGTTCAATAGAGGATTTAAGACGAGGTAACATGCGTTCATTAAGCCCTTATTAATCTTTCTAGTCCTCATTGATAAAGTTGATGCCTTCCTTCAATATTCGACCGCGCTTACAGACGATGAGGTGCACCCAGAAGAACCCTACGAAATAAGCCAGTGTCAGCCGTTGGAAAACCTTCGAGTAACTAGGTACTTGATTACTTATGGAGTAATTTGTAAAGTTACTTGTTTAATTTTCTTACGGGCTTGGATACCCGCCTAATATGTGCTTATCGCTCTCCCCTTCACTGACACGGCGGAAATTACTGAAATGGCATTTGCATTAGGTACTAACCCCAGGCGGGAATGCGTGTTGGTTGCCATAAGTTTTCCTTCCGTAACCACATTTATAAAATTTTACTCCCGCGGGTCCACCCATTACTGTGTCGCCTTCAGAAACTCCATTTGGAAATTCTATTCTGTCTCCCGGTTTTCTGCAATTTAGCTGCTTTATTACCCTTGAATGCTTAAATGGCACAGGTAATTGTTCAAACCCCTTATTTTCTCCAGAAGTTGTGTGTATGTTTCTACCTCGAAAGTCCTGACGTTTAGAATTTTTGTCACGTGAGTGGGCTTTGGCCTAAGGTCACGCTTCCAACGACACATGGTATTCGTGAAACGACCGCCGCGTGAGGGGACGGTTAGTGCGCTTTGTTCGATAATGGTCTCTTTGTGTGCTTCGTCAACGGATATGACCGTCACGGGGTGCATATTCTAATCCTGGAAACTAAGAGGACGTCTTTGTATTTTTTTCTCTGTCTCGAGGACAGTCAGTTGAGGGATTCTCTGAAGTTCAAAATCTGTTTTGGTTACGTTTTCACGCCGCCTGGGACTACTGATTACCTACCACACAGTTAGAATAAAATTATACTCATGAACAATTTGTATGAAAGAATATAAAATGATCTCTTACGCCGACAATTTGTTTTTGAAACAACGTGAGTAAGCTCTCCAGACCGGGCGACCAAAGACTAAAGAGGCGGAATCAATTTTGAATTTTCGCTTGTAAATAGGGGGACCAACAGTCGCTTTGACCGCATATTTAAATCGAGATATTTCCGCCTCTTGATCGTTTTCCCGTCGTAAAGATCGGGGATTACTACGGTTCTGAAGGCGCAACGGTGACCTGCCTCTTAGTTATAGTAACGCTTAGGGGGCGTCAGCTTCGCTCTTCCCGCTCACCCCGTTTCAATGGACAGACAGAGTGAAAATGACTGGGCATGAGTATTGGTGCAGTTATCAACAAGAATGAACCTATGTTTTCGCTGAACACGCGGTGGTCCCTACACAGAAGCAACCTCTATCTCCGTCCTGTAGGCTAAAGCGCGCTGAATCGTTGAGTCAAGGTGTCGCATTTATTTAATGTATCCTCATTATAAACGACCCTGACAAGATTAATCACATGGTTGATGTACTGGTGGTGAGTAGTGTTTTACTGGCTGTTTTTGCCTGTGTACATTTATCGCAGTAGACCCGAACAACGCCTATGATTCACGTTCACCCACATTCATTTATACAGGCGTTTTCAATGCCTTTCGTTGCATACTTGTTGCCTCCACTACCACTTGCTGCGTTTTAGGTCACGCGCGAAACGCAGAGCCTCAACTGACCCATCGAAATGTGTAACCGTCGTCAAGCGTATGCGTCACAGTTCATCATGTGGAGGCTTGTCGGCTTCTGGGTCTCCCCAACGGTGCACTGCTGGCGAAGTTCGCAGTCTCGCCGCCAACTGCTGCGGCCAGGTCCGCTCGGCCATAATGGCAGGCGCTCTTAGCGGCCCCGCTATCCACACACTTTTGTCGGCTTCTTTAATCAGTATGCTGGCCGTGCTCCGCATGATTCTCACGCAAACTCTGACTACAGGCAACAATGGCAGTTCCAGTAGCAACGCCATCTCTGGTCTCAACACCTCCGCAGGCACAAACTCGCCTACGAGCGGTAGCTTCACTCTCACCACCTCACCTCATCCACATGGACTTTCTCCTGTGCGTCTCCTCTTAGCCATGCCATATTTGATTGCGCTGGCAAGGATCCACCTTCTACAGGGTCTTGTATTTGGGCCAAGCGGACCGTTAGGTCCTCCTGGTATCCCTCCTCGAGGCATCACTCAGCCCATGGGACCATTCAGTAGAGGTGCGGGTAATTTTGCTACCACTGCTGGTGGAGCGGGCGGAATAATTATGACTGGGGATACACACCACGCCTCGTTTTCTGCAAGACAGGTTCACGCGCAGCAAACGTCTGTGCTCCTACAAAGACATGTCGTCCTGCTGTCAGGCGGCGTTGGAATCACAGCATCAGCAAAGGACTCCTGCATCTTCTATTACTGCCGTATTCGCCTACGTATTCGTATCGACATGGGACCGTCAACTGAGATGCTGGTAAGCCTCGAAATCGTTTCAGTCTTTATCATTGCATTTTCTTATTCTGTTTGCGGAATCATCACCCCACTGTTCCGTTATTAGACTAAATGATTATTCGTCAACGCCGTGGGCGGGCTTTCCAGATCTTTGTCTTCGTGCTCGAGTGTCTTTGCTGACGATGTCCACCATGTGCTCCACAGCACTTTGAGAGCTGGGACGGTGACTTGCACGTGAATTAGTTTTCTGTAACAGTAGACTTGCGCTGCATCTACTACACTCTCTCCTCTTCCACCTCGACAAGGTGGGCCAAACCAAGTAGACCGGAAATGAAAGAGGGCACCTACGCGTACTGTTACTGACTTATACTTTATCTTGGATAAATGGAATTTCTGCCGACTTTGTCACACGGCTGCAGATACTAATTGCGATTATGGCGAATCATCTCCAACTGCCCAGAAACGCCTTCGACGCGGGCACTCTGGACTTCTTATCAGGCCTTTTTTGATTTTGTCCTGGGTTGTTGGAAAAATGGCTGGATTTGAGTAGGATCGAGCATTGGTTTCAACGAAACTGCAAATCCTTGCGCAGATTGTTTTGGGGTTACTAGAATTGAGTACCGTCTGGAGAAGGTTACATTCAATCCAGATTTCAGGTTAATGGACCGTATTTCCAACCTAGTCGTTCAAAGTTGCCTATTCCAACGGCACAGATTTGCTTGCCCACAATACTCGGTGACAGGGGATCTCTCGCAAACAGCTGGATTTTCCCACCAACCAACCCCAAACTCTCATGGTGGACATCGCATTTATTTGAAATTCCTTGCAGTTTCCGCTAAGGGTGCCCGATGTCACTCGCTTTTGGCCTGTTACTCCGGGGTGTGCTTGTTGTGCTCTCAGAACTTCCCGCCTGCTCTTGCGCTCCTTCTAACGGTGTCAGCTTGCCCTGTTTAAAACTGGCAGATGACAGCGTCGTCCTCGGAAATGACGCTGAAACTATTACTAACACCTAGGCAAGACGCTTCGCCTAGCGAGTCTTAGGATGATTTCGTGGAATTGGGCGTGTTCGAGAACACGTCTGCCTCTTGCTGACGACCTCATATTGGGATTAAGCGAGTTCTTCCCCCTCGAAACCGATGAGTGAGGGACTTGGAAATAAGAAATGTTCCTTAGGTTTCCATTAATATCTGTCCCCGTGGCCTCTACTTTCTGTCTCGTCGACTGTTTATAGCGGAGTTCACAACCCGAATATTAGCCAGTATTGCTTTATTTATCGGATTTTTGGTTTTCGCGAGCTAAGTTGTGCGTTAGCGCAAATTTCAATTACCAGCAACTGCGTCTGCAAACTGCCGTGATCGTACCAGCACCTGTGTAGCACGCCACTTCGTATTTGGCAGGCGACTGAACAAGTTTTAAGGCGAGGCTTGATAGTTATTCCTTTGAGACCAAACGAACCGATGGATGTGCAGAGGACGTAAACGTTTACTTTGCCCTTTATCAGCTCAACGGCGAAGTCCAGCTGCAGATAATTTTTCTGACCGCAAATGAAAGACGAAGTTTGATAACCATATAGTTACAACAATTGACTAACATGACGCCCTTGTACGGCCTCTATCTCCCGAATGGGCGACTACGAGCCACCTGACCCTACGTCAGGCCATTGAGTGATTGGTGGGACATTTGCCCACTTACCGTATCTGCGCGTAAGTGTTAAAGCAGATTGTAAATCTGTCTCTCACTGACCGCATCCTCGAAGCAAACTATCGCGCCGATCCTTTTTTCGTCTCTCGCGTAGAATAAGGTGGTATGCCAATAAAGCAGGTTTCACAAATCACAAGTCATGTACTGTCTAGTAGAATTTAATATAACTGGCCACCTGACTAAACCAGCCGAGAATTCTCTCATCCTTATTCACTATCCCCGTTAGACGTGTCATTATGCCGAAGTCAACGGTGTGCCCCCGCTTATACCCTCTTATCCCTTGCGCAGACAGTCCACAAATTTACTTAGTTCATGCAGTTAAATGATTGTCAAAGGTGTCGACTTCGGTGACAGCGCCAGCCTCCGTGGGTCATTATCCCGCCTAAGTCGATGATGACGATGCATTCTTTTTTTCCCAGAATCTGATACAGGTCGATCGTCAGGATCCTTACGAACGCCAGTTGGATCTGTTTGCTCAGGCCTCCAACCTTCTTCGCAATCACTCTCCGGGCGAGCTTTTCTGCAATATGTGGTTTAACCAGTTGCATCATTTGGAGGCATTCTGGAGTGATTATTTATCAGGATTTCTGAAACAGGTTCGTGTCCGCAACCCCGCTTGCAAGCATTTGTCTCATGCGCCCCTGGCTTATAAACCCCTTTACTCGTGAGAATTATTTTGCCATATATCTGCTTCGCCTTAGTGCTATAGCATTCAAATGATTATCACCATTTATAGCAACATAGAAGACTCAGTCCACAACTGGCTGTCCAATTATAGAAGTGTATGCGTTGTCCAGTATTTATAGACCATTTTATATGCAGAGGTGATGATTCCTCTAATACATCATTGTGTCATCCAAAATTTTCAAGACAGGAATATGTTAATCAGCATCTCAGTTTGTCATAATTTCACATACTTTCTCTCTCGTAAGTTTTTGTAAGAAATCATGTCTGTCCTATTTTACTGGGCAACTATCAGAGGGTGGGTTCTTCATTGGCACAACTACTGGCTACGCACGATAGCAGGCTCTCGGGCCTGACAAATAAGCAGTCGAGGACTGCCTGTGACAATGTTACAAGGGCGCGAGAGGACTGATGTCTGACCCTCCGACTCTGATATGAGGTATCGCAAACCCCGGTGGTGGCACTATGATATGGCGACCGTGAACCACCAATAAACAAATTTCTTTGTTATCTCTTAAGCCAAAGCCCTAGAGAAGGAAACCTCAATCAGGTGGTTTCGGCGGCTGCCGCGACCTTTCCTCTACACAGAAACTTCATAGCATCAACAATTCATCCTGTGGCATCTACAGGGACCCACATACTCCGCAACCCTGACCTTATTGCGAGTCAAACTAGGTGCGAACCGTTTTTGATCTTAGCGCCAAACATCTGACGACACATAGCCTTCGTCATCACGGCGCGAATACGCGTTGCTGATCTGAAGTTCAAAGCCCCGATTCTGGTTCTGGGAAAGTCAAGATGCCGTGGGGCCAACTCCTAAGCCACCTTCTACCATAGCGTCCAAGCCGACCCCTCCCACATGATGACGACTATGGCAACAGGCGAGCTGTGAATTGATTGCGTGGGAACCAGCCCATGACCGGCTGGCTTTCTTATGACTGATGAGGCACTTTACTAACATCCCTGTCATTTACGTAAATGCACTAATACCAGCATCTGAGCAAAGCTGCAAAGACTGGTTAGAATATTCCATCATCCTAATCTGCTGATGGCTGTCGGGGTCTGGACTGCTCGGAATGGGCTAGGCGACTCCCTATTAGCCGCTCTAGACTGAGCATTTGCTACGACTATGATGAGGAGATGCTGAACCCCGCTAAGCAGGACTGACTGTTTATCACCGACACGTGCTTCGCGCATCGCCGAAAACAGCTCCTGACTTGGTATTCAAACCGTGATCAGGTGGCCAGCCTGACTGACTACCTTCGTAGCAGATGGATGGTGTCGAAACTGGCCAGGTCTGTAGGTCAGACCATGTTCTCTTTCGCACGCCTGAAAGTCCTCCGTATCTTGGCGGGAAAATAGCTTTGTAAGACAGCCTGATGTCGCGATATTGCGATAACCGAGTAAGACCGCGGCCCTGAGCACAGAAGCTCGGTCTCGTCCTAGATCTTGAGTCGAAGGAGAACGTAGTGATAAATGGTCATCATCGAAAGTCCTTGTCTGAAAGGTAGCCGAGGGAATTCCCGGATTTACCCAGCGGCACAGGGACCTTACAGTTGCATGTCCAGACAGCTTGATCCATTCCGTCACTTCTGAAGGTAGGTGGTAAAGTAGGTTAGGGATGATTTCGAAAATGAGTAGGTTGAGTTGGCGACCACCACGAAGTAGACCTCAAACTTAGGTGAAACTCAAAAACCATCAAGTTATTGGCTATGCTGGTGGTCGGTCCCCTGCAACGAACGATTGTTCTTCAAGGCAATGACGGTGTTGTCGCCAAAAATTGGGCCAAAGTTGTAAGATGGCGTGAGTATTTCCACTGTCTTCACTCGCTTCGATGACCAGTTATCAATGCCCTTTCTTCTCGGCATCGGAAATTTCCTCATCTCTAGCTTATGCAGTGGCGTGTGGCCATCTCTCCGAGGAATAAAATGATAAAATGTTGAACCTGTGCGGCAATAGAACTTCCGGTGGAGACGGTATTTCCTGTCGAATCCTAAAGTCCTCGGTGCACACTCCTCTTCCCTGGCTCCCCGAGCAGGCATTAAAAGATGAAAATATTGCTGATGATTGTCCCTCGGTCGTTCTTGTGCCGGTCCTCATGCCGAGGGGTAAGAAGTGTGAGGACAGCCACGGCGTAAGTTTCATCAACAGTGCCGCAAGGCTGCCTGCATTTCGTTCTCAGGCGATTTCCGAGTGTATATAAGTCTGAAACGAGGTTTAACCAAGCTTGGTTCCCGGCTGGACGCAGATGTATGAAACCAAATATTCACACTTCGACGCATTCGTAGACTATGCCGCAACTATTAGCAACCGACAGTCCTCGGCTTTTTTGACAGCACTGCAGTGTTCGGTTCCATTCATCTTGATCGTCGTTGTATATGATGGACCCAAAAAGTATGTTGACCGGGATCATCGTTGTGATGAAACCCTGTTGTTACATCACTATACGAGTTGTGGCCTACAGCAATAAGTGCCTTCCGCTCGATATTCAGTCTGATATTACATTGTGTCGCCCCCTGCCTCGCCTAATTACGCCGCTGAGTGGATTCTCGAGTAGACCCTGCACAGTTTTGACGGCACCGGTTGGTTGAATTCGTCTTCGCCGACGGTATCGCCTAGTTAGCGTCAAGCTATGATGACCTGCATGTCGTGAGTGAGTGGGGTCGTCAAGTCAGGCAGTTTATGAACGGTGGAATGGCTAACGTGTCTTTGATCTGCATTCCTGATGTGGTTTGGGGGCACTCTTCGTTGTTGCCTTCATGCGCCAAGTGTTACCGTCCTCAATCCGGCGTCGTTGTGCACCTGGATTCCTGGAAGACAAAGTCAATTCAAAACATATCTTGGCTCATTCCATCAAGGCATACTAGTGGTTCCTTAACTTTCGCTGTTCGATTTTCGTCGCTGGAGTAGAGTATGTTTCGAGTTCTCCAGACTGGTTTCCGCAAGTCGTCAGACGTGAAGAGGTACTATTCGCAGTATCATAGAGGCCGGCTGGGTCATACATGATCACTGCTGTACCAAGTACAGGTAGCTTCGAATAAGTGCGCAATTGACCAAATATATTCCCTTGTGATTTACTACAAGTCAGCTCCTATTGTTTCCTTCAAAACGGGCTCGGATGGCATTTGGTCGGCCAAGTAGTCGTAGTCCGGGCATCGGCCCACATTTTTGTCCCTACCCTATTTCCACAATCCTCTTTTAGATGCTAATGGACAATTTGTTGAGCTCCTCATCACACAGCTTGGTCGGACGCTACGAGACGGCCGTTCACTATGCAGACGCCAGCACGCAGACAGGGCAGGCCTCAGGCGGCCCTGCCGACCGCTCTCGCACCGGCAGTCGTTTGTCCGACTCGAGGGAGTATCTGCCACCGACTGAGGCCCTTGCAGCCGCTTTGCGCGCCCTTCGTACCCGCCTGAATGCCTCTGGCGGCTATGCCGCAGGCCGAGCCAATCTTGCTGGATGGCCGGCCCCGCCGAACTTTGATCTCCACCTTTTCATCTCGCGTCGAGAATACGAAAACGGTCGCTCTCTACTCATGCGAAACCTGCGCACCATCCCGAGCCTCTCACGACTGATAGCCGTCTCAAACTTTTTGCCGGCCATTGCCGCCTCACAATCCTCGGCCACGCCACCGGGTCAACCTCGCTGTTCACAAATGCCTGGCTTCACTGCAAGCACAAGTGGACCGCCTTATTTCCACTTTTCGAATATACGATGATTTTCCTCCGCAAGCCATTACCTAATGATATTCACCATTTTCTTCCAGCCTTTCACAACCTGTTTTTTGGCATTTTTTATTCATATTTTTGATGGAGGACAAATAGTACGAATTTTCTTGTTTCTGTGTTTTTGGGAGACCGCAGAGACTGAAGGGGTCGTCTCGGATGTTGCATCTTTCTACACGGCAATTAAGACGCCTGAACTTTATTTACGAACTCGTATGTGCCGCCACGACTGCCACGAGAATGCTCCTGGCTCCCTCAGGTCACTCATTCTTTGGGTTTTAACTCGTGTACGATATACTCTAGGACATACGTAAGTGCATTTAATATCGCTCTTCTCGCGTCCACACATATTTTTCAGTGAGGTGCATGATGTTTTGCGCCGTGTAATAGCAGGTAATTAGCGGCAAGTCATACGCCCCTGGCAAATCTTCAGCTTGTCTTGTTTTAACTAGGTTTGTTTTTGGCACACGGTGACCTCCGATCTAGTTGAAATTGCATTTTGGCTTAGTCGAGTGAAGGACGACTTTTTCGACTCCACAGCTCTTCGCCCGCTGAACATGAACTTTTGCTGTTCAAGGTCTTTTCTCTTCGAGGCCACCCGATACCTTTGCAGCTTCCCCAGTGCCGCCAAAAAAAAGTTCCATATCCTCCTAAAACCTTGTGTCAAAAAGTGAACCGAAGTACTCGACAAACGACTGGTGTCCAAGGCTCTCCCTCAGAGAACAAATTTAGACTCAGTAAATTTTATCGGCGTGTGGTGGAGGTTAGACTACACTGTTGTTCCCTCGTTCGTTAGCAGTTTGTAAATGGTACCAGCATGGGTAATAGAGGTGTAATCAAGTCGGGGGACGCGTCTGCAGTCGGGATCAGAGGCGATAACAGACGACCTTGAACGTGTCCATATGCCTCTTGGAGATGACAGCCTAAAAATTAAAAGCACCTGCCCAGGGACCTCAGGTGCCTTTTTAACTCAATAGTAGGGAGCTTCTGATTTGGCACATGGTTAGAGGCGGGGACGTGTACGCATCAAGATGGACCCATATAAGAAGTCGAGCCCGGGCACCAGCTGTCTCCATCCCCGCTGGAGCACTTTCCAAACCACTTTCTCATTTTGGCTTCTTGCACATGGCTTTCATAGTATGTGCGCTTAAGGCTAACTGAGTGTCGCGCCTTCTGTAATGAATTCTTCAAAGATTCGGAAAAATACTCTATGGGCGACGCGAAGAGGGAGGCTACTGGCTTCAGCTCTGACCACCGATTTCTCTGTCAAGTCGGGATACCCCAAGTCATGTTATGTGAGTGGCGGATTCGGATGCCATAAACCTAGATTTTGCTAGTCAAATGGCAGGCCATGAACTACGCGTCCAGTGCAGAATTGTAGTTTGCGGCTTGTATCAGACAGATGCACAGGAAATAACACTTACCGGCAGCAGACCGCGTTTTACGCATTAGCTGTCAGTAACGGCAACAACGATTTAGATGGACCATCCGAAACGTCACCATGAGTTTCTTTTAGGGCAGCTGTTGTATGAAACCCCGAGGTCCTTAAGTGTTCTCCATGTTGGCTTAACCTTGCGGACGCTAACGCCGTGGACATGTCAGCCTTCTCACTTTGCGGTCACCATTCGATGATACCCAATGACTGGACGCATGCCCGGGACTTGGGTCTAAGCCGATTCATAATCAAGGGACGTCCTCGCCCCTGAGTTGTTGTGCATTCACGACGGTCGAGATCAGGAGCATTTAATCGCGTGGAAGCAGTGTGCTATGACTTATCCGGATTCTAAGGCGGTAAGGAGCACTTCCGTTTCTGCGCTGAAGCAATGGAAACAGGGCCTCACGAAGTTGATTACGTAGAGATTATCAGCAAACAAGTGTCACCAAAGAGAGGAGACTTGAGTGAACACTGCAGGTTTGTCAGCTGTCATCAGCCAGCAATCTCCAAGCGCAATCAGGTTTCCGAGAGTTGAAGATGATTAACGGATCAGTGCGACTGTGTGAGTTGTATAGCCGCAGCTACAAGGTAAACGAGAGTGCAAATTCCGGTCCTGTAATCAGGGTAAGTCATATGTGGTATTGATATACCAGAGGCCAGGTCTGGCAGTGGGATAGGCAGCGCAGCGTCACGTCATATTGACGAAGTGCGATAGCAGACCTTGGGTATCAGGATAGGGGAGCGCCCGCAGTCTAGCAACAAATACCAAAAATGCATTCCCGAAGAAACGATATAGCTTACATATTGATCGTCCGCATCATTGGCCCGCGGATGAGGAAACCTCTAGTTGCCGCAGCCGTCAGGGTACGTACACAACATTATTCCGAGACATTTTTTCCACGCAGACCGCGTGAGTGGTCTGTTCGAGGTTGTACACTCCGGCCCCTTGGTCATTTGAAAATTAGGACCAACGCAGCCGAGTAAGAAGTCAATTTAATGAAAGCGCTGCAGTGCCATGATCAGACACCAAATCCCCGTGTCCCGGTGGTGCTGTTGTTGTTTGTCTATGACAGCCTACTCCATAGATGTAGGTCTGCATAGTTCGCAACTAACCTCTGCCGAACGTTGGCATGGTGGCACGCCTAGGTGCAGGCCCATCCACCATGCCATCCCCTGTGCCCTCCATCGCATCTAGTCCTTTTGACTATGTCTCGACACCTTAGCCAAGTGAGAATGAAGGGGAGAGTGCGTTAGATGCTGTACAAGGCTACTACCACTACAAACTAATTCGCGCACAAGTCACCGTGCATGCTCTCATAATGCTGTGAAGCACGCGGGGAACATCCTCGGTCACGACGGTCGAGATGTTAGGCTATTTACCACCTGAGGACGCATCCCACAGCCAACTCCGAGGCAAACAGATATGCCCCTCTTCGGGGTCAACACTGACTGTGGGTACGTGCAAAAACATAAATGCAGCCATTGCAAAGATTGGAAATCAATAATACTCTTCTCTACTGATTCGAAAAGCTGGATATAGACAATCGTCGATAAACAAAATTGGTAATTCGAAAGCATAGTAAATTCTGTCCGAAAAGGTATGAGTACAGAAAACCACATGTAGGAAAGGTACGTATAAATTCAACACGGCGTGCATGATAGCACAATAAATGCTAAAGTGCCACGGAGGATTTCGGTGGCAGACTAGACTGAGAGAGGATTGGTGGGAGCCGGTAGAATGCTGTAGTCAGCAACGCAGTCCATGATCCAGGTGGCTGGGAGAAGACGGATGGGGGCGATCGGCGGCGGCTCCCCTGAGCGCGACAGCACTTCTTTCTTGGATTGAAGGAGGGCCAGAGCGGCGGCAACTAAACGGTCTGGTGGGAGATTTTCCATGGTTGTGGGAGAGGCGGTGGTACTGGAACCGTCATTAGCCCGAGGGTCGTAGATGGCGAGAAGCTGGGAGGGATGCACAGTACACTCTGTGGTGGAAAACGCGACCGCGTCTGCATTTGCTTCTGCCAGCACCCAGTCGCTGGTAGGTTCCTCAACTGTCAGGCTGGCCAGACGCCGGGGTGAGGATATGTCACGACTGAATACGGTTGCGCCACCAGCCTGAGCCAAGGTGACGAGGTCTCCGCGAGTGGGGGTTGGATATACGAAGGTGCCCTGACAGGTAAGGATGGGTCAGAAAGACCATAATAGCCCGAGAGTAAGAAAGAAAATGCTTGTTCTTACTGTGACACGACGTACTTCTGTGCTGGTTTATGCTCCAGTGCAAAAGGCCAAATATCAAGCAGCTTACTTGGCAAGAGACTCCATTCAAAAGATCAGAAAAACAGCCTCCCACACAATACCTTGTGACTAACTTGCTGAAACGGCGTCGACGAAAAATCAAAAAAATCGGAAAAGTCAGCTACAACAGCCCCAAATGCGGACACCTAACTAACATTTAACAGTCACAGTGATTCACTTAACACGAACACGCGGGGAAACCATAAAGAAACTGAACGTTGGTGGATCCTCACCATCATAGAAGTCCGGACGGTCAGAGTATGAAACCGGCCCACCGATAATCCCAGGTATTCTGCGACGGCGTCTCATTTGCCCTAGCCAACACTTGTTTCGCTTTGGGACGGGTTGCGGAAATTTACTCTTTGTACCCTACGGAGCACTAGTAGTCGTAGTGATGATTCCAAAAAGTACTTGAGACATGCATATATACATTTTTTGAAAGTGCTTCAAAACCCCGGGAGGATTGTAGATCACAGCAACTGAGAAGGATATTTTTAGTGTTCATCGGCTCCATTCCATCTGAAGACATGCGTCTTTTTTCTGTGCAAGTTTCCCACCCCCATAATCTCCCGTTGAAAGTGTTCGACCAAGCTGGGATACAAAGAACTTGTACAGTATTTTTTTTAAAATTCAGATACTCCTGTTGAACAAAAATTTTCGGTGACAAATGCACATAGCGAACTTGGGACGAAAACTTACCAGGAAACACAGGCGAAACCCATGAAAGAGACCGGCCGAGCCCGCCTCCCGAGCCTGACGAGCCTTCCGCGGAGCATAGGTAGTGGGAGCCGTACTGCAGCCAGGCAGTTCAAAGCCCTCCTCTTCCACACGCGATTTGACGAACGAACAGGTCTCAATCCAGTCGAATGCTAATACCCAACAGCCCTGAAACCAAAAGGGGGTGTGGACGAAGGTCGTCTCAATTATTATCTACAAATTGTTAAACTCTGGATCGTTACGACACCTGCTGCCGCACAATGTCTTATTCAGAGGTAGGATAGGTAGAAATCATACAAGGTAATGAATATGTCGGGTTCGAAAAGTTGTATGGAGCCATCAACCAACGAATCGTGTTGGTACTTCTAATTTAATCCTGTTTAATTGCATGACAAGGATTTTCATTACGGCTTTATGTGTGGGTGAGGACCAGATCACGGACCAACGAAAGATACGGATAGGCGGGCCTGCTTGTCAGCCTAACCGTGGACCACGTGATAGGACCATAGGTGGCAGATTGAGGAACGGTCTTGGGAGGTTTAGCCGAGAAATAAGTATGTTCGTGCCGGGTCATGTAGGCGCGGCTGGGCACAAATACGGCAGATAGAGTATGTGGAAGTATTATGACGCGGTAAACGTCCGCCATTCAGTAATGCCTTACTTGTTATCCAGTAAAACCCTGGCATCTGAATGGAAACGTCCACCTTTCGATCCAGGTGCGACAGGAAACAATGTCTACACCAAGCCCACCGCATGAACACAGCATGGTGAGCTACGGATTAACCTGAGGGCCAGGAGAGGTATAGTCCCTGCCCTCTGGTCGGACTTCCCTACTAGCAACTATACTAACGTCTGCCTGGACTACTGCCGAGCACATAAACGATCTGCTACCAAACAGTAATACCAATAACAGATTATGAGGAACTAAAAGTTGATATAAAACTACAGTAGGGCTGACATCCACTGAAGCGGAAACTCGAGATGGCATAAACAGTATACATCTAACAGAACGCCGTAGACATATTAAAGTGGATCATACGGGAAGAAAATTCAGGAAGATCATGCAACTTGATACGCTCTACTTGTTATATTATCCGAGTCAAGAAAGAAGGCCTAGAAATGGAGAAAAACGGTCTTGTCATCCATGTGGCATTTCCGGTCTTACCAGAAAGCCACTATAGGAAAAGGATGGCGGCTAGTGTCGCGACAGGCTAATCCGTCACAGTAAATTTTAACAGAAGGTAAGGAGAACGTTTTTATTAATTCGATCTGCGCCACTACTAGAACACTTGGAGTATGGCCTTGCAACGTGGGTCAGGGAGAATGGAGTTAAGTACCTCAGAGGGTCGCAAAAGTACCCTAAAACGAGAAGTGTATAGTTTCCGAGCAAACTTGAGACTACGTGACTATTCACTTAAGATTTAGTAAGAAGCATTTATGAAGTCAGTGGAAACAGGATCGTGAAAAAGAATTAAATATGCAACATAAGTAACTAACAAACACTAGGTCATGTGATGAAACGAGTGACCTACGAGCAATCGATAGGGCTACTAGTGGATGTATGTACTTGCTATTGCATTTTAGCCCGATTCATGCAGGACGTCGGTGTCGATGAAAACGTGAACCAGATCCAACAGACATCTTTAACAATAGCGCAGAACTAAAAAGGATAGTCAACATAACACTTCCGTTAAGTTTGTAGTGGACAGCCATCATGGCTACGTCGCGCCTCTCGCTAGCGCCTGCACCTACGTCCTAGCGACAGCCTGCTATGGCACGCACGTCTGCCCGGCTTCGATTTGTCTCGTTGCAATTCACTGTCTGCACCACGCATTCGGTCGATTCTCTGCCTGCAGCAAGCGAGGCTTTTCACTACCTTCGCGTGGGCTCGGAGCCAATCAACGCAACTCCCATCGTTGATTGGTAAGACAGGCGGGGACAGTTCAGAACAATAGAGTAAACAATCTGCAGCGACACTTTTGCAGCGGCGACCTTCGGCGACAAAGGGCTCGTCGCTCTCGCGGACGCCGCCTTCGCGGCGCCGGACGCATCCTCGTCCGGTTGCCAACTTTCCCCTTCACTATTCTGTACAGAATAAAGTGTTCTAACCAAATGGCGTCCTGCTTCTAACAAATTGGGATATGGCCTGAAGTTGTGGCGTACTGAGCGTACACCATCACCGCTTGGCCGCTACAAGTTCTATGGTAACCCATCTGGTAGGCCCGAGGACCTGATATGAATTCCGGTACGCACAGGAACGTTTTACCTACGGTCGTGTGCTCGAGAGCATGCTGTCGGTTTGGGAGGGAACTAATAAAAGGAGAAACATGAGCCTGCAGAGTTGCAAAAAAAACAAGTAGAGCAAGCAAGGAAAATTGTTCAGAGAGGAGAGGAAACACAAACCTGCAAAACGGCAGACAAAAACTTCAGTGTTCGCGGGCAGTTAGACTCATTGGGATATACGTTGTCCTTATACTTGGATGGTTTCTTCTTCTGCTTGTCGGACTGTGGACTTAGCGTTGCCCCCGTGATTAGGTGCGTGACCTCCGGTGACATCTCTGTGGCGACGCGAGCGTGTAGTAATGAGGCCACGCGAACGAACTGCGTGCGTTGAATTCTACTCAATCCGGTCCCAAGAAGGACAGGTCGAAGCCGGCGCCTTTAACAGAAGCCAGAGGAAAAACGGAGGGAATAAGACTGGCTGGATAAAAAAAGATCTAAAATGAGACTACAGAAAACTGGCCGTACAGAAGAAAAGGCTCCGAGCGTTGATAGCCATCCTAATAGGAATGCTAAGTTAAATGTGGAACAGCTTGGTTGAGTAGACTGTTCAAACGTGAGGTACGTGAGAAAAGAAGATATAGACCAACTAGTAAGGCAAATAAGGCAGCCCTTCCTACCCGTCAGAATGGCAGAGTTCGAGCTCCCTGTCAGATAATCAAATAGTTCAACCATATCCTGCGATCGAGTTGATTGTCACGCGAATTGTCTGCATCGCCGCTCGAAGTTTCACGTGGCGACCACGGGAAACGGGGTTCAAGAACCAGTTAACATCAAAAGCCATGCATGTTTACCGTCCGAATAAACGGTACGACCCACGATTAACAAACTTAACATAACAGGTTATTGAATGTCAATGAGTACATTTTATCTAAACAGATAAGACTGCCAGAAGCGAACGCGGACGCGATGGCTGACAGATCTAAGCAGTTCTTCCACGGATGTCCTAGGTGACCCGGTGCCTAAGTTTACACGTATCATGTCTCACAGAGATCTCGGGCCTGGCGTAAATGAAAGTGCTAAAATGATCACAATTATAAGGAGTCAGTGAGGCCTGATCCTCAATCCTAAAGGGCACCGAGTTGCTCCACCAGTTGGTAATTCTCGAAGCCAAGACAACCGCTAGCACCTTGAGATACATTCACGCGCGCCAGATTGATTGTCGTGAAAAATGCACAGATTTGCCGCAAGGATGAAGTCCAGCACCAGCAGCATGCCACATCCTGTCAGTCGACTGGAGGGGAGGACAGAGAGCCTCTGCCTGTCGCGTGTAAGCAAGCATAGCAAGTTATCCGAGATTGTCGAAATTGGCTAACATCAACGTATGGTTGACTACACAAAGTCACCTCTAATATCCTTTAGAGATGAACTAGACGGAATTGGTCGGGCTTTCTCGCCTGGCTTTGGTATAATGTCAGGATCTCCTAGGCGAAGAGTGGTGTTGTCAGGATGACAGCCTTGCGCATCCCGAGTTTTGCGTCGAGGATAATGTCGCGGAGACTTCCGGCTGCCGAAGACCTGATCTGATTTAGTTGCACCCTCGTCGTCGATCCCCATGGTTCGTAAGATGGTGCTGCCCAGGTCAGAGAACTGATCTACCGCTTTAATTACTATTGACAGTTATCGTGAGTCCAGTGTATTTGACAGTTGCTACTGGACGGCGCATGATAACCGTTTTGTGTGTTTATGACTAGTGCAAGGGTGAGGCATCAGGTGGAAACAGGCCCAGACTTTAGTGGATGTCCGCACCAGTTGTGATATTTAATGCATAGTCATCGGCAAATAGCAAGTCGTGTATTCTCGTCTTGGGACTTTTTGTGACAGCCTTCGTACTGCGGATGTTAGACAGTTTCCCATTGGTTTAAGAGCTTGTGACGATGTCCAGTCGATCCTCTTGGTAGGCGTCGATCAAAGTTTAGGAGAGCATTTGGTCGAAGATGGCCTGACAGGGACACAGGCTTGCCTCGTTCCGTTTGTCAGCTTGAAGACCTCCTACGTGGGTTCATTCTTCGTCATAAGTTCCATCGTCAAAACGCCTGATCATTATCGTGAACCGCTCGGGACATTCAAATTCACCCATTACCCTTCAGGGATCATCTTGAGTTACGGTGTGATTCCTGACGGTTGCATATAAACTAATTATAATTTCCTGACGTTCTCACTGTATTTGACTCCGAGATGCCTTCGAAATTAACATGTGCTGTCTGGTAAATGCCATTGCTCCGGATGCAGATTCAGGCGACTGAGTTGTATTCGAGCGAGAATTGGGACAAGGATTCCACGATGATTGCCACAAATTTTGCCGGTTTCCTTTACGTTTGAGTAGATGAGCAATGACTGCGTCCCTGAAATCTGTTCTTGTCGTCACAACTTATACATTTGTGAAGCTTGTCTACAATTTGAGGGCTATCATGTTTGTTGACTTCGGTGTTTTGGTGGTCGCAGACTACCTTAATGGACGCGAGTAAACTCGGCATCTTAGCATGATCTGTGTATTCTTGGATTTCATCTGTCTTGGTAGTCAACCAGTTGTTTTGCATTTCCCGCAGCACCTAGTGCAGTTGGTGATGATAAAAGAGGGAGGTGGGCTGTTGTGGATCAGAGAAATCATGCTGATTTGACCTTTTTCGGATACCAGTCACTGTATTTCATCATCACATTAGTCAAAACAGTCCTGGTGTTTACAGCGTGCAGGTCTGGTGACTTCCACAGCAGTGACGCAAACGGCATTATACAGTCTTTGCCGGTTTTGCCGGTGCCTTATTCATCTAAGGTTTTAAGGTTGATCAGGCTTGAGATCAATTCGTTGGAGAGTTCCATCTGATGTTCTGCGGGATCCAGTGAGACCGTGTCCAGTTTTGCTGATACCCTTTTCCCTTATGGTCGTCTCCGCGGTCGCATTTACAGCTTCATCTTCCATACATGCAGGCAGTCGATCCAGCATTTGACACTACACTCCAGATTTGTTATAAAACCATCAGGACGATCATAGGACACATTCTAGCAGCTGCCATTGATGGGATCGCGAGTACATCGATGTTGTCTTCCCGACACCGGGAAGCCGAAAGATGGTATTGCAAACGGGAAGACTGACTCTTGCGCAGTTCCTCCACAGGATGTTGGAGCTTATAACCGAGGCGAGCCTCTCTCTGGGGAGTGTGAGCCTTGCTGAGATGTGATGGTCACTGAGTCCATGGGGAGAAAAGTAACTTCCTGGCAAAGTCTTTCTGAGTGCGAAGGCGACAGCAGCGTAACAGCGTTCTTATCTGTGACGGCTGCTACAGAAGGTATAACTTGCACCAACTTGATGCAACTGTCCTTGTTCGGGGTGGCGGATTTTGTTGAGTGTAGCAATTTATGCATTCAGATTGGCAAAGTTGAGATATCCAGAGAGCCTGTCTTCGTCTTCAATTAATTTATGCATTGCAAAGTGTCAGTTCTAGGGTGACCAGTCTGGTCCTAGCCCTGGGCCGGTTAATCGTCAGGTTACCTAAATGGAAACGCACATTCTGGATTGTCACCACAATTGCGTCAGGGTCTGTGGAGTAGCTTATCGCCCCTGCAAGATCCACCCCGTAGCTAGACAATCGTGCACCATTGCAGCATGCCCACGCAATGACGACAACGGCAGTGGTACTGCTAAGGATGAGCGGCGCACTTACCTTTCAATAAATAAAGCCGTGGCTATCGGATCTACTGGCGCCAGAGCGCTGCTGGGCGAGGTAGATGGTTTCCCACCGCTGACTCTACAGCCACTCTCCGGGACGGTGACTCCTGCGGAACGCCTGTCCCTGGCTTCTAGGAGGGCCTTGTTAATATCCATGAGGACGGTCTTGACGACAGTGCCCGACTTGGCTCGTTTCACCTCCATAGGCTTTGCTTGGCACTTTAAGCGCTCCAGCATATTAGCACAAACATCCAGAGGAGATATTCCCAGGGCGTTGGGGGCCTCAGGATTGGCACCGTGCTTCAATAAGAGTTTGCAACAGAGTAAATGCGCATTTGTCACAGCATCGTGTAGGGGCGTCTCCAAATCCGGACCACCTGGAAGATCAACTGACGCTCCAGCCCTGAGAAGACAGCTGGCCGCCTACAGTGGAGAGGAAGAAATAAAAGTTGGTATGAAAAAGAGAAATTATCGTACGCGGGCTTTATCAAGGCAGCGATTGAGGCTGCGATCAACTCCTCCTCTCTCCCCTCCTAGGTGTCTGGATTTTTGACCGACTAGGTTTATCATTGGAGTTACAATTAGGCAGTCGGTTGGTGTTTGGATAAGGCAAAGTGCATTAGGCTACGCTATCGGTTTGTGTTTTCGAAGTCGAGTTTTTGTGAATTTTGTTTACCCGAAATAGGTGGTGGTGGTGGTGGTGGTGGTGGCGGCGGCGGCGGCGACAACTCAGCGCCACTTGATCGCACTAAAAATGGAAGAAAAAGTTACCTCAGTATGTCCACGTAAGGCAGCCTCATGAAGAGGTGTCCAACCGGCGTGGTCTCGCACATTAGCCGATAGGCCAGACGAGAGAAGAGTCTGCAATTGGTCCACATCGTTTCTAATGGCGGCTCGATGAACAACACTTTCACCTTTGCTGTTGAGACGCATGTGATGCGTAGATGAGCTGTCGGTAACAGTCGACCGTTTCGTCTTCGTCTTGACCGCACCAGTTGACTTGGCTTTCCGAAGGTTCGCTCTCTTCTCGAAGGAGGAGGTAGATTCAGTTCCCGATTTTAGACGGTCGGCATCGCTTGTGGATTTTTGACGACGTGCAGATGATAGCAGGGAGTCCTCTGTAATGTAGGAGTCCTCCGGGACAGCAAAAGGGGCTTTCGATATTCTAGGCAACTTCTTTGAAATAAAAATGAGGCAGCATTCTAAACGCAGGTTTAGTGTGCGTACATAAAAAAAGTAAATAGACTCGAGGATCAGTTAAAATATGTGCAAAATTAGACACCAGATAATATGACAGACTAACTCGGTAGTGCCGGCACCGAAGTATGACAATGGCCATAGAATGCAGGCCAAGATTGTGGAGGCTTGTGAAATGAACGGCGAGTAAAAGCGACCATGAAAAGTAAGACCGTGTTCATTCAAGCATAACTAGCTGATAAGACAAAAGCCTTGAGGTCAAGGAAGTCGGTCCGGACACTTGAAAACATTCTGCAAAAAATCGACTTTGGAAAATAAGTTTTCCGATTTTTGGGCAATTACCATTTATCAGAGCCTTGTTATGCAGTGGACTTGGAAGGAGGCAATACTTGCAAAGTGTTATGCGTTAGCTAAGAGGAGCATATTTCCGCCGTCAGAAATAACGTTATAATCCGCACCTGCATTCCATGTGACCTCAAATACTGCCCCGTTTGACAACGCAAAGGACGAGTTTTAACGTCCTTCTCCAAATGCGGCTGAAAGATTACTGCCGTCTAGTAGTACGGTGTGCCCTCACCTACTGCACATTGTACAGGATTTCGTACAGTCAATAGGCAAGCCCTCGAAGAAGACGATTTTAGAAAACTTCGCTGGAATATCGGTGGCAGATCCATTATTAGGGTCAGGTATTCAAATAACAGGTCCCTGAGGGCGGAGACGGAAGCAATCCGAAGTCTAGAGGACCATTTCCTACATGAAAGGAGTCGTCGGGAGACTTCTCGACTGTTACAATCCGCCAGAGTAGGCATAGCCCATCGACCTCGGGCAACAATTTGCCTCCGTGTGATGCTACCTAGGAGCAGGCTGCCATATACCAAAACGTTGGCAGATGTATACCAAATATGTTGCAACGGTGAGGCCTGCAACTATGCCGGGGAAGCTAGACGAAAATCGTAGACCCCCTTCATGAGCACAAACTGGCAACTCGGAAACTAGACTCGAACTCGCAGTTTGCAACTCATAATGAATAAATTGGCCACACTCTTGACCTTCAAGAAGCGATCATCTTATAATGAGGCACCTTAAGAACAGAACTACTCACACCTGAGGCATGGTATTCAGAGTTCAACCCTACAATCAGGCACCTGCGTCATTACCTGCATGAAGACCAAAACAAGATGGCCACATCGGACTTAAATCGAGTAGACACGACCCCCCGACGAACTCATCCGAGGGGGAAGGAGAGTTCCAGGCACAGTCTATCGAGGTGACGACGTATAATGCAAGCAGCCATCAATCCCCACAAACATCTGCTGATAGGCTGGGGGAGCGAAAGAAGGAAGAAATTGGTCAATTCAAGGTCGATTAAGTCGAACAGTCATTAAAAGTGCTGGTCGATGTTGGGCATTAAACGTTTTCGAAACGAAGAGCCGACCAAGCTCTCGGAAACGTCAGCAATACGACAGATTTGTCCCGGTTAATAGGCTCACTTTCTAAAAATTACGGCCCCGGAGCTTCCACCTTCGTATATCTGAACTAAACTAACAGTTTCTAAATAGTAACTAGTCCGCGGAATTAGACAAGCCCAAGGGCCGATGATGGGTGTTGTCCCTACCCTTTCCTGTAGCGAGAGCTTTAAACATCCATTTTGAAACCAAAAGCCGCTCGTCCGAACTGTGACCAATGAATCTTACCTGACTGCTCAACAGCCCAAAGATGGCCCGACAGTTAAGTATACCTCCATGAACAAACACTTGCTGGGCTCTGAAATCAAAAAAGTGCATTGCTAAAATGGGCCGACTTACAAAAGACTGTTCTGGGGAGGCGCGTGAGTCGGCGGAATCTCCTAGTTTTCGCCGAGCGGGACGACGAGTGCGCGAGGGAGGTGTCACCGTAGCTTTGGCTGGGGATGGACTGCAAAGGCCGGCGGCCTGCGCCCCGGCCAAATCCGCCTCCGCTCTGTCAGACGGCCTTAGCAAAACGGTTGGTCTTGGGAGTGAGAGATCATACGACACTGTTAAAATTTTGCAACTAAATCATTTGCCAGCTGCTCTTTTCTTATAAAAGTTGCTATAAACTTACTCTGGCTCTGCCTGAATGGAGCATGCTACGGGGGAAACAGCAAGAATATGCTTAGGACTGGTTGATTCTAGGTTGTTCGACGATTCTGGAGACGGTGATGGGCTGTCGACTCGACAGTAAGTGTCCGAATTTAGAAAGTCCAAGTTATCTAAAGGCAGAATTGGGCCTCAGTTATCTACAGAGGGAGAGGAGCGTGAATACTGGACCGGGTAAAAAACAATTCGGAATCGCTTGAGGGACTGGGAAAATGTGAAAGACAGACTTGGTGATGATGCAAAAATTTCAAAATACGGAAATACCATGCCAGGTGATAAGAACCTCAGGCAAGTTAGTTAATAGGAAAATATTTGGAGAGAGTTGCCACCGTACTTGCTAATAAAAGTGCGGCAAGGACAAGAGGCGGGCAAACTACAACAAAAATCGTTAGTGTATGATTAAACAGAGTGTTGAGTTCGCCTTCAGTACTCATATGCGTGAAAAACGATCGCACCTCGGTTGACAATGGCATGGTTGCTCCGAGGTAACGGGTTGTCTAGCAAGGCGCTAATGGGCTGCATGCTTGTTCCCTGACAATTAGGTTTGTGCGGATGCGGATACCCTTCTTAACATCCCCTTGAAGGCTAACATAATGAACAGTGCAATACACTGACTCTACAAAAACCAGAGCCTAAAGGTGGAGAAAGTGCAGCCCAACAGAAACCAGAGAGACTTTTGTGGTATTAGTTGTTCCGGAACGAGGAATCATTTTCGATAGGAAAAAAGATGTGTTAAACAATGTACCAGATGTTACCTTTTAATGGAGTCCTGCTTTGGGGTCTGGGGCTCTGATCTATAAAGTCGGCATCAAGCTGATCCGCATCGAAAGGACGACGCAAAAGCTTCGCCAGCCTCCGAGTAACCACTACAAGGGAGGAGAGTTGAGGGTGCGGTTTCACATCACATGGCCTGATTGGGACTTTGCAAACGGGACAAACACCACCGGTCTTCTTTGGTTGTTTTGAAGGACTGCAACAAGTTTCACAGAGGGTATGAGAACAGACGCCAGTCGTAAATGGCATATGCAGAGCACATGCACAATTGTCGCACTTGAGTAGGTTTAACAACTTCTGTACCGACGCCTCCGTCTGAAACAATCGTAGCACATCTCCAGATGCCATTATGGCTAGAAAACAAAGAGCAGCTGGATGATAGAACCAACTAGAAGGAAGGGGAATTAGTAAGCAGAGCGAAATATTTACGAGAATAGCAAGTGTCGGAAGATTGTTGGAAAGTCGGCAAGTCCGGTACTATTTTACCATTCCCCTTCTTCCTGGCCATCGCTATCATAAGCGCCGTCCGCAACAGTTGCGAGTTTTACGCAAGGTAGCAATAAAACAATTCGTAAATCAGTGAAACACAACTTGGGAATGGACTATTAAAAATAGATAAGGACGCATACCTAATATAGAGATACCAGAGACTGGTGGTGCATAGTTACCACTGGTTCTGACTGGACGTTATGCTGGGCACGATCCTAAACCAGGGCTGAGAAGGGTCATTACCATGGTAGTCGGTTTTACAAAATCCTACTTATCAGTATGGTGAGAAGATATGGGTCTCATCAACGCAATGGTTTAGCGACCAGCTTACATCTACCATCTTGGTTAAATTTGAAAGAACGGCGGTGGATAAGCCATGGCTGACGGCGACGTAGTCGATTTACGATCAGCTCAAAAGGTAGGGACGGTGGTCATCGAGTTTGACAGCGTCCACATTATAATCTAGTATCAGGTGAGAATTTTGCGGTCGGTGCACACCTAGGTGATTAAAACATCACTATCTCCCCCTTAGACAGGATGGCCGAACAAACACTTAAGGTCGATCTCCTTATTTAGAGAATGATCCAACTTGTCATTTAAATTACAGAAAGCCAATAAAATGGCGGTAAAGTTTCAGCTGGATGGGGTGAAAGTGATGTTGGAACCGATTAATGGCCCTAAACACTGTTGACAGTTTGACCGTCACGATGTCAGCCGTGTGTCCCGCAGCGCGGCAGGTGCAGGGACGATGACCTGTGTGCGAGCTCGTTCATTGGTAATAAACTTGCGCAGCATCTAACACGCTCGGCTCCCTCACTCACCCGAGCCCTATGCCAGGAGAGAATCAAGAAAACCGGAGGACGGATCGGGCACAGTGGCCGACAAGACTAAACAACCAGTCTGCGTGTGCTATATACGGTCTGGCCCCACACAGCACACTAGGTTTTCGCACAAAGGGGGCAGACTGCACGGATCTCCGTGCGCTACAGTGTCATAAGGGCCAATTGCGGAAGCAGCCGAAGAACACGCTCCGCCTGTTATGAGAGATGCCTATTCCGTGTCTGTGGTGGGGAAGCGCCCGGTTTGGACGCGATCCCTGCTGAGATCAACAGACACGGTGGCCCCAAACTCATGGATAATCTAACAGCGCTCTTCCAGGAGATGTGGCGTCAAGGAGAGGTCGAGCAGGATTTCAAAGACGCCACAATCGTTCATCTATACAAACGGAAAGGAAACCGCCAAATCTGCGACAATCACCGACAAATCTCCCTGCTAAAAATCACCGGGAAAATGTTTGCTCCCATCCTTCTCAAACGCCTGAATAATCACCTGAAGTAACGTCTTCTGGCGGAAAGCCAATGTGTCCTCCGCTGTCACCGTGGAATCAGAGGCATGATCTTCGCCGCCCGCCAACTTCAGGAGAAGTGTCAGGAGATGCGGACCCACCTGTACTCTACCTTCGTGGATCTGACGAAAGCCTTCGACACAGTGAATCGCGAAGGACTGTAGAAAATCATGCAGAAATTCGGTTGTCCCGGACGATACACTCAGATGGTGCGTCAGCTCCACAATGGCAGGATGGCGCGCGTCACGGACAACGGAGCTGTCCGGGGCATTCACACTGACCAACGGAGTGAAACAGGGCTGCGTCCTCGCGCCCACTCTCTTCAATCTTATGTTCTTTGCCATGCTGATGGACACCTACCGTGACGAACGCCCCGGGATCCACATCGCCTACAGGACGGACGGCCACATCCTCAACCACAGGCGGATGCACTTCCAGCCACGTGTACCTACAACCACCGTCCACAAACTTCTCTTCACCGACGACTGCGCCCTCAACACCACCTCGGAAGGGGGCATGCAAAGGAGCATGGATACCTTCTCCGCCTCCTGTGATAACTTCGGCCTGAACATCAACACAAAGAAGCAAGGTCGTCATGCATCAACCGCCACCCCACATAGCCCACAATGCGCCGTAAATCAGCGTGAATGGAACCCAACTGCAAGTGGTGGGCAACTTCACGTATCTAGGCAGCACCACGATCGACGACGAAGTTGCCCACTGTAATTCTAAAGTCAGCCAAGCCTTCGGCCGTCATCTAAACACAGTCTGGAATCGTCACACTTTCCAGCTCAGCACAAAATTGAAGATGTACAAGGCAGTCATCCTGCCGACGCTGCTGAGTGGAGCGGAGACCTGGACGGTTTATAAGAAGCGAGCGCGGAAACTCAAGCCCTTCCACCTCAGCTGTCTTCGACGGATACTCAAGATGAGGCAGCAGAACCGAATCCCCGACACGGATGTATTGGAGCGCACGGGAATTCTCAGCATCTACGTCATGATGAGACAACTGCAACTGTGTTGGAGCGGCCATCTCGTGCGGATGGATGAGGAGCGGCTACCAAACGACTCTTCTATGGCGATGTCGACACGGGTTCCCACCGCAAACGAGGCAAAATTAGTCGATCCAAGGACATTCTGAAAGCCTCCCTAAAGCGTCTGCAGATTAACCCGGCCAACTGGGAAGACCTCGCTCGAGACCGACCGACCTGATGGAGGACAGTGAAGACAGGCGGAACGATCTACGAGGTAAACGGCATCTTCGCCGCGAAATCTAAACGAGAAGCACACAAATCGCAACTGCGTCCACCTAGCAACGTCAGGGCCCAACCACCCCCAACGTGTCCACGGTGTCGGCGGACATTCCGGGCGCCAACTGCACTTGTCGGTCACCTTCAGACCAACTGCAGCGCTTGGACTGCACCAACCGTCGTCTCTCTATCCACCCCTCCCTCGATTTCTACGCCGTCAACTAACTCTGACCGTCCTCCCGAACCACCGTTTTCATCCTCCTCCTCTTGCTTCCTCACTACCTCAAGGTCTGCTGCTGTGGCGTCTGCCACACACATCAACGTGACAAACAATCCTGACATATCAACAAACACCGACACCACAAGTGTCGACACAAGTAGTGAGGGCCTGGTCTATACCCGTCCTCATTGCGACCGCACCTTCACCTCGCACATCGGCCTGGTCGGTCCATTGCAGATTGGCGAGCCAGTGCCTGGAGCATCAACCTACAGCCGCCGCATTCGCCTCCACTGTCTACACTACACTCGCACATTCATGCACCACATGAGCCTATTCGGTCACATGTGTATTCACGAGGGCGGAATTGACCGCAGACCTGGCACATCCAGCACACCCACCATGGCTAGTCCTGCCCGCACTCCGCAGACCGGCGCGCCCACCGCCACCAGTTCCATCACACTCAGTACATCTTGCAAACTCACTATGCTCAGCCCAACCCACACTACATTGCCCAGCGCGCCCACCACCATCACCACCACCGAAGCTTGTACTGACACCGCCGACTTCGGTCGAGCGCGCATTCGATCCACGTGATTCTGAGTACCAGACCGAGTCATAATATCAAGTCCTGATTCTGAAAAATAGTCAGTTTCTGAGTTCCTCGTACTCTCAGAACTCTTTGCGTCCGTTCGCATGACTTCGGACTCCATAACTACCCCCAAAACCTCCAGTGTTTCGTTGATGCAAGACCGAAGACTTACTGGCACAATTACGACTCCCGAGTCTGATGCAAACGAAATAACCTAAATGGCAGGATTTGGACGGAGAAAAGGTCCTTCGCCGAGGATGTGGTTGTAGATGGATGGATGGGAGGCATTATTTTAAATCAGTACGTTATGGCATCTAGTCGAAATGGCATGCTACCTAGGCTTTACTTCCATTAACCCTGAATATAGGGAACTGTCAGTAGTAGTGAAAATGCGATTCCCAGTTGGCATATCAACGGAAAAGGA